CCAGCTCTACATGACTTTTCTTTGCAAAGTTATAGAATTTACAAGAAAAGCCCTAAATGTTCACTGTCAGCTCAAAGCTACACAAATAAGAAAAAATACTTTAGGGCTTTTCTTGTAAATTCTATAATTTTGCAAAGAATGGTCGTGTAGAGCTGAGAGATGTCTCATTTTAATCAGAAATTTGCTGGCCACAATCATGTGTCATTAAGAAAAGGTTTTGGTTCTCTTTTAGAGTTCTTGAAAAACTGGTTTTTCAGAAAGCCAGGTCTTCAAGAGTCATGGGTCCGAATCCTTTTAGAGTATTAACTACCTCACTGAGATCTATTGATCCATGTATAAAGCATTTGAATCGGAAGTGGGCATCTCGGGTGGTTCCCGTAAATCTATTTATGTTCTAATTTGAAATATAATAGTAGAAACTAAAATATGATACTTGCCTTTCTTGAAATTGATTCATAATTTTTGTTGCTTCTTCTAACTGTTTTTTTTCTAATTTTTCCATTTCTTTTAAAATAGCTGTTTCAGCTTTATCTATCTGTAATGCTACTTTTTCTAATTTTTTACGATGTATTTCAATTTCTTCACGTGAAAAATTACCACCATCAGAAAACATTCTAAATACAATATAAAGAAAATAGACGTCAATTTTCTTCTCATCTTCGTACAATTTATAGATAAACCTACTTAAATGATTGACGAAATTTAGAATTTGCTTGTCTTAAATATTGCATTGAATCATCAAAACGTTTTCGAAAATTTCTCAATGATACACGAACATTTTCCATAAACAAATCACGTTGCTTCTGCAGACGATCTTGTAATGATAAAAGTCTAGAAAAATGTAAGAAATTATTAACTAAGTTAATGGAATAAGATTTATTCAATATCACCTTCCACTTGTTGTTGCATCAACAAATACTTGTTCTAAGCCAAAAATATCATCTTTATAATGCACAATTGATTTAGCAAACTCGTTCAACATTCGACGATAATCAGCATCGGTTTGTTCCAATGTTTCTTGAACACCGCGAATATGACGTTCCACACGTTCATCATGCATGACCAGTTCAGCTAAGAAAATTGCATGAATTGACCATGATGAATATATAGACGACAAGCGGTTGCCTGTTCTTTAATAGGTGATCTGATCTATTTTACTCACTGAAGTATGAACTGCTGATCTAACTTCATTAAGTATGCTCTCAAATTAGTTACAATTAATGCCACTGATCTTTCAATTACCCGCTCTAACGTTATGTATATCCATCTCAATTCTGACTCGTCTCGGTTCATGTAAATGTAATTGAAAATCCATTTCTTTATCTAATTCATCATGTTTTGAGAACATAACAGCATCAGCTCGTTTTATCGTTTCATCTTTCCATTCATCATTATGTTCTAAAAATGCTCGACAAATTCTAAAAACAAGAAAATATATACAGAGATAAAATAATTTCGTGAAAAGAAAACGCACGTATTCATAATGATTTCTGCTAGATTATCTTTCATTTGAAATGATCTAATGAACGGAGTTTGTGTCCATGACATAAATGATGACTGATCTTTAACTTCTGTCAAGAATGTTTGCGTTTGTTGTTGTTCATCTTGTTTACTACTACGATCACCATCTACACCATCCCAATTATCGTCTTCAAGTGAACTTCGATATGGTGACTCTTCAGTACGATTTTCCATTGATGGCGATGTATTTTCATATGATACACTCTTCGTTTGAGAACTTGGTTGATCTAATTGAGCTATACGAAAATTTAATCGCGGCAATTCATAGACTGTTTGAGTTCTTGATGTTGTATGATATATGGAACTTGCCCCTCTCTACAAAAAAGAAGAATATTTAAACATTTTGCATTCACAGTAGAAGAAAGTGCTGTATATGTTGTTACAGGCTATATTCAAATTCAGGCAAATTTTAAATTAGCATACGTTAAACTAAAATCGAGCTATGCAGACTTCTGAAGTTTAATATAGACTAGACTATATTCAAATTTTAAGTTAGGCTAATTTAGGTTAATTTAAAATCTGTCTGAATTTAAATATAGCCTGTAACATATGCACTAAACTCAAATATTTGCATCACCTGTTCATTTTCTTCTAATTGTCGTACTTTAAAACAGGATATAATCTCATTTTTATACCGTTGCACCTCATCGGCTATCATTCCAGCATATTTATTAACAATTATGTGTTCTAATTCATAAAACTGACCGTAACTAATACAACAGAAAATTAAAATAAGTCATGCACAACAATAAGGATATCTTACCTTGCTTTTATTTCATCTAATTGATCGTATGCTGAACGTAATAATCGAGTAAGTACAGTTTCATTTGATGCACTACGCATTTCATCCAATGTAGAATCTAATTTGGTTAATTTTTTCTACAAAAAAAAGTTTTAGTACTTTTTTATAATTTGGAATAGTAAACGAACTTCATTTTGTGAATCGTGTGGTTTTCTCGCGTCTCTCATCATATCTTGCAATTGTGCCGTTACATGTTCCAAATGAAGTTGATGATCATCCCATAGTTGAGCTGGTGTTTGAATAAATTTGTGTAATTTGTTCAGTACTTGTTGCATATGAGAAATGAATTCATTGTAAACAGACTAAAAGATTTTAGAAAAATAATACTAGTGCAGTTTGCTCCACATCACATAAACACATACTTGCATTTTATTTGTTAAAAAATGTTCTAAAAACAATTTACGGTCTTCAATCAATGGTTCAATATCACGAGCAATTATTATGACCGCTTGTTCCTGGTCATAAATTTGTGCTTCAAGTACTTTTTTCTGTGAAAAAAACAGTATTGATATAAAAATGTTTAAGAGAAGACGTTCAAACGATTTACTTTGACACATTGAGCTTCATTTATTAAAAACAGAATTTCATATTTAACGACGTCGTTTGCTTTTTCTAAAAGTGTATCTTTTTTATCGATAATCTCGTTTAAAATTGTTTGACCTTGCTGATACCATTTTTGAACATTATCGCGAGTAGTAGACGGAGGAACAAATTTACTAAAACAAATAAGAAAAATAAAATATATGTAAGTAATGTTCGTCTTCGATTCACTCGTCCTTTGAGGGCAAATCACAATAATCGTCTTCTTTACAATTAGTTAACAAACGGAGACAGATATCTGCAATATGGTGCATCTGAGTAAAGATTATTCCTGATGACTCGACTCGTTTACTTGTCTCGACGCCAGTCGTCAAATGTCACGTAGAGGGATAGCAGATTCATACGTGTCGGAAAACACGTCCAGTCTTCATTTCACACTCTAAAGACCTCGAAAAATAGTAGAAATCAAAAGTTTTCTGGAGAACTAAAGATTCTCAGGCTCCATCTTTCATACTCAATCTTCATTTTACGCCAAACCCAACTGAAAAATCAATAGAAACATGGAAGATTTTCTGAAAATCCTGTATAAGATTATTAGATTCTCTGCATGAAATTACTTCAAGTTCATAAGTTTTAGCTACCTTGATCGTTTCTCTCTACAGTTACTCTATTTTTGAATTTCTTGTGTGGACAGACAAACGTTTTATTGTTTTACGATCCTGACTAACGTCAAGGGAATATAGAGAGTGAATAGGCATGCACCGGTCACGGGTATAACCGACATAACTGATGTTTAATTAATCAAAATCGATCATAATCGAGGATCGGTTAACCATCCTCACGGTTAACCGACTCTTAAATATATGTTTCAAAACAAGAGAACCAGTTATGAACGGTTATAATCGGTTATTATGATTAACCTTAACCGGTGCATGCCTAAGAGATAGATAACGTAAAAATATCGTCGCATTTTATACACTATGCGCAATTCATGTTGATATTTTTACTTTAGTGTGTTTATATGTTCAATTAACATTCGTCTTTTTCCATCGATTTCATCAGCAACTGGACGACAGGCTTCAATTAGATTCGATTCAAGTTTCGTTTGAGATATTTTCAATTTTGAACTATGACATAAAATAAAAATATATTATCCGTATTATATAAATAAAATATTCTCTCACGAACTTACTTGAATTCTTGTTTATGAATCAGCCATGTTGCATCTCTCCATTTATTTTGATACTCTTGCATCTGTAATCTATAACGGTGTACTCTATCTGTTTCACCCGTTAACAATCGAGCTTCCAATTCTGTATAGATGCGACGATTTTCTAATACTTGACTATTTAATTCCTACGTAAAAATAGCAACGTTGTTTGATGAGCTAATAAGAAATTTAGAAACTGATGATTTACATCTGCTTGTTTTTCCAGCAGACTGGCTGTTTCAACATCGGATAAATGATACGTATTGTACAATCGATCAGAATATAGTTTAAATAATTCACGAATCTAGATTGGCAAAAACAATTAAAGAGTCAAAAATGTATCACAGTATTCGTAACTACATACTTTTCTTATTCGTTCTAATTCTAACTCTTCAATAGTTTGACAATATTCTTGTATTGATTCTAAACGAGGTGGCAACAGTTGATCAAGTTGTTCATAAGCATTTGTAAAACTATCGTTGTCTAATGATGTTATATCCTAGAAAATCAAAGAATATCAATAAGTATAATAGATTATAGTGACTGTCTTTACTAACTCGTTGATATATCTGACTTTGAAATTGATCATCAATTGCTAGAACAGAAAAATCTTTAGTTTCAAAAAAATCGATTTTCAATACCCAAAAAAGTAGCATTATACTGCACATTTTTAATCCTATGCAGCGTGACAATATAAAATGTAGATCTCAATCTCAAGCAAAGCCCTGTTAGTTCAAAATCAATTTATGATTATGTGCAGAAAATTGTCCAACTGATAAAAAATGTACCTAAATGTCCATTTTCATAATAACTGTTGCATAATCGACTTGTTTCTTCTAATTGTGGTAGAACTTCCTTAAATTAGTAGTAAAAAACATTTATTATTCAATAAATATCGCTTTATCAAAATACACATACCTGATTAATTTGAGCAATGTTCTCAAAAAATTCATTCCACAACTGCTCAAATCTTAAAGATTTTGAAAATACGTAAACAACAGACTTTTCCAACAGTCAAACAGTACACATACTTTAATTGTCTACTTGCAGCTAAACGTTCAGTAACATTATTGCCCTGAGATGACGCTGGTGCAGCTGAAAGATAGTAATTCACGAAAATTATTGTTTTTTAAATTTATTCATAACATCAGCAGCGTACCAATTGTATCTGGAAGATTGAAAACTTCTTTTTTTATATTTTCTAATTCAACGTACGCGTCTGATTGAAGTTTTTCTTCAAATTGTTGCTGTCTTTAAAAATAAAAATATATTTTATAGAAACATTTTTAGATAAAACTATGACAGAAATACTTTAATAGAACTGGATTTTCTACAGTTGATTCGTACGGTAAACTTTTCATCCATTTTCGTTGTGATAGATTTAGTGCGCCACTCACACCTGAGTCTAAATTAACAGAGACTATTTTGAAAGTTTGTTTAAATAAAATCATTGACTCCATACCTCTGATATGTTTGACCAGCGGTGTTGCATCCGGATGTGTTCGAATTTCCACTGGTTTCGATAATTGATTTGAACGAACTTTATTATAGGCATCATTTAATTGAACCTATGGTGATAGAATTTAATAATAGCATAGTTAAAAATGTTTTCAATTAAATACCTGTGCATCGAATAATTGCCGGTAAACTTTATTATTTGGTAACACACGCACAGCTGCTGTAGTGGCTGATGAAGCCATTACTAGTTTTCAGATCAAAAACCAGTTATTCACATAAGAAATTTAAGATTTATCTAAAAAAATATAGAGTTGTATACAACAATGGTGTAAATTACTTTCACTTGCCAAAGTCTGTTGTATTGCTTAGTATTTTAATAAATACTAGACATACGGAGGGAGATCTGGTACTATTACAAAGTGCATCTCAGATATCCGAGCGTAATCTATACAGAAGGAACTTTGGACAAAGATGATAATTTCCGCTGGCATTTTCTTGATTTCCATAGCAAATAGAGTCTTGCTATACTCATGTTTTCAAGAGTTCAAAGAGAAAATAAAAGACTATATTAAGTTTTTCATTGTATTTTCGTCTAGTATCATCTTTACGATTACTGATTTATTTTTAGTGTTTAAACAGCATGATGAATTTTCATTCATCAAACTTTTTCCATTCTTTCATCTGTCGCACTTTCGTTTCGTAGTAAAACCGCAAACAAGTCTGATTGTCATATACTTTAACACACTTATGCACTATGTGATCGGTTTGTGACAGAGAATTTAGCTACAAACAGGAAAATGTCAGATATTTTTGCTGTTCATGTTTCTGTTGGTTAAAGTGCACAATCTAGCGTTAAACGCACTTGATATTTTTTAGTGCAAAGGTTAGAATAAAAGTTTTTTCGGATTTGCACTAATGTAAGTCAAGAAGAGGTTTTTGGTTTCATTTCTGCGCTGAAATGGTCTAGTGGCGTCATTCTTGCGTTAGGAACGGCATGAGTAATTCTAAATTGTGTAATAACCCCAACACGTCACTGAAGAAGTTTGTAAGAGCAGAGAATTTACTGTAGGAGATAGAAAAACCATCGCTTCTGTTTCAGCATAAAATGTACTTTCTTGGAAGCAGAATCCTGCATAGATAACAACAAACAATGAGGGACATGCACATATATAGTACTTCATGTACTGATTTACTAAAGGGTGCGAGGTCGTATGAGGACAGAAGTCCTGCTTGTAAGGATTTACTCCAAAATTCGATATAATTTCGTCACATTTGTGAAATATCTCCTTCTACGCTACTCTCCGTTCGAACCATTTACGCCAATTTTAAGGAGTTCTTGAGCAGAAAAAAGGGGAAAAAATATAAATTTACTCTACATTTCTCAAAAAAAGGTCTCTTTCTCGGCTTTTGGCGCTTCATGTAGTTTTTATCTGTGCCACTTGAAATGCTTTAGTTCTATCGAATACATTACATGTAAATTTTAATCTACGTGTTATCGATGGCAAGATGTTTCTGCTGTTAGATCTGATAAAAGTAGAAGAGTAAATGGTGAACAAATCAATTCCATCAAGCAAATCGCATATGAATTCCTTTTGTTTAAGACGGAAACAAATTCAACAGAAATCTTTTTGTAGAGCACTCATAAATTGTATGTTTGTGTGGCTTTTGAACGTTAACTTGTATTTCATTTTTCTTTCTATCCTTTTTTTAATGAGAAAGAGTTTTATGTTTGTCTTTTAGATTCTATAAACATCAATTATTGCATTTAATATAAATTATTCAACATCAACAAGAACTAGACTTGATATAAAAGAACAGTATTATTGTGTGATTAGGCAATTATCTGACGTTACATTCAACCATCTAGGCTAATTTAACTCATTTTCTTACTATTACATAACTAATGAAAATGGAAACAATGGACTACCTGTCCCCTTACGATACATCCACGCTACCATTTTTTAACGATTTTCTTGACATCGATCTATTATCAGCATCGGACACAGCAGGAATAGACCAAAATGATGATTGGATTAAACCTCTATTGACAGGTATGCGAAAAAGAGAGCATTAGATTATAAATCTTTTTAAGGTCAAAAACAAAAAGGACCATTGGGAGAAAGGTTTGCGTCGACTTAAGAAATAGGTTCTGTTTAACCATATGAAAAACGTGACAACATTATTGAGAGTAGTTGAGAAAGAAATAGTACAAATTGACTATTTTCTAGTAGCTAAACGGAAAGTTTTGAAGTAAAAAGCACTGTTTATGAAAAGAACGAAAGGTACCTTTTCATAAATAAAAGAAAAGCCTTTTTTATGTGTTTAATAATTTCTGATTTTTTTCTCAGACGAATTTGATTATTTCCAATTTGACCAACAAACAAATGCAAGCATGGGTGACGATCATTTTTTATCATTAAGTGATAATGATGATAAACTCTCGAAATCATCGTTTTTTATTGATGATTCTTGGATTACAGCAAATGATCTTTTTCCACCATCTTTAATGGTAACTAGTGAACAACAAACACCAACAACAACAGGCCATTCAGAAATTTTAGAAATTCAAGAACCAAAAGGGAAAGGATATGAACAAGAGCAGTATTCAAACTCATTATTTGTCAATGGAAATGAAATTACATTCATTAATTCAATTGGAACAGACACAAATCCACTGGCAGGTGAATAAACAGAGAATAATCCAAGAAAATTATGTTTTTAGTGCTGATTTATTTTGTGTGATTATTTTTCCATTTCTCTTCTTTTATTAGGAATAACCGCTAATGATCTAGCAAGTCTTTTTGAACAATTTGAAGGTATTTAAATTCAGAAAGAAAAGAATATCTTTCCTATATCGAGTAACGAAAGGTTACGAGACTATGACAGTTTATTTTTTTCAAGCAAAAACAACATCGACAACCACCACCACTGTGATTCAGCAAGACAATCGATTGATGAGGGGTAAAAGGTTGAAACGTGTTGGACGAAGTACAGCAAAAGCGTAAGTTAATTGAAATGAATGTTAAAACATGTTATTGATCTTTTCGTGTTCATTACAGATTGCAAAGGAATGCAGCGAGACGTTTGACTTCAAATGCAGGTTAGTAACAGTAATCAGAAAAGTAACGATAGAAATAAAGAAAAGAAGATCACAGAACAGTTACATATTCTGCTCATTTTTGGAGAACTTATGAATTATATAGCTTCAGAGTGTTTTGTTTTCGTGACTGTAACGTTTTCATTATTTACTTCTCTTTTGTTATTTTAGAACCAAAAGCCAGTGTGGTTATTATAGCTGAAGATGCTACGCGTTGTTCTGATTTAAAACCAACAACGAGTCTATGTGAAACTGATCTACTTCATCATCATCGCACACCTTGTTGTTGTCAATTTTCTTCTAATTATCGTTACACATCTTCAAAACAAACACGAAGAACAAATCCCCGTGAAGTTATTCTATTTCGTAATGGTGAATTTATCTCCAAGGAACCAGCTAATAAAGGATCAGGATCAACGTCAACAACGGTCTGTTGTCATCATCAATCGACACCACCTTCACTTCAAACAACTACAACTGTTTCCCCGTCAGCTATTACGGGAACAGGCGTGAATGCTGTTGCACAAGTTGTTGCATGTAATGTATTAAGACAAGCAACTGCGAATGATGCATTTATTGAAAATTTAAATAATCTAAAACGTGAACCGGAAGAAAATGAATGTTGTTGTAGAGAAAAACAATCGGTTGATGTTGCGGCAGCGGCCGCTCGTGCGCATGCATCATGTTTGTATGATAATTCATCAACATTGAAAATATTAGGTTGTAATGCAACGGTACCCGTCTCCGTTACACCTTACTTATCACCAGCTTGCTCTCCAAAACTAGAATTTTTAACAACCGATGGTACAAAAATTATAGCTGAAACCGAAGATAAGAAAGATTTCAAAGATCGAATTGACCGACAATATGGCTTTTGCCAAACGGCTGACGCGGTGGCTACTACTCAAGTGATAACAATTAAAAAGGAAATAAAGCAAGAACCACAAATACCGACGACAGCAACTCTCATTTCTTATCCTCCGAAACCAAAAGTAAATTTATTACCAAAGACACCTCTGCCATTACAAACTGTACCTACATCAGTGGCCATATTCAAAACAGTGAAAAAACCAATAAACAAAACTTTAAATAGGTAACAATTAATCTAAGGCCATTTTGAATTAATAGCTCTGTGATCAAGTTTGAGAAGGAAGAGAAAGTTATTATCATATGTTGTAAATGGGCATACCATAACAAATTAAATTTTGTGCTTCTGTAGCTGAAATATACGCTGTTGATCAAATTTGTTTTGTCTCTCACTCGGTACCACTGAAGTTGATGAACGAATATTATACAATACTAAAGACTTACATTTGAATTATTGTTTCTGTTTATATTTCTTTAGTGCGTGCAATAATGGTATGAATCCACATTCTTCTGTGTCTATTTCTGCTAGAAAACCATCAATCTTATCTATATCACCTTCGTTGCCTATTCATCGAAATTTAAAATCTAAACAAGAACATCAGCCTTCTCTTAATGAATTAGATTTGCGTACAATATTTATTGGAAACGTTTCATTATCGATGACCGAACAGGATTTGAGAAAAAGATTTGAAAGATTTGATCAAAATATTAAAATCGAATTGGTGAAAAAGAAAAAGTAGGATCATTAAATTTTGTTTTTCTTAAAAACTGACAGTTTTACCAACGTTTAGAATCCAGCATGGCTATGTCACATTCTCAGATGCCAATAGTGCGTCGATTGCACTTCAACGTAAGCGAATCGAACAAGATACAAGTGTAATAAGGACGATAAGTGATGTTTTTTATTTTCTAGATGTAAACGATGGTTACAATGGATATCAACGGTTTCAGCGTATGCATATTGGTGGAAATACAGTAACAAATCTTCATATGAATCATAATATTAAACGTCGTTTTACTGATCAACAAGCGAAACAAGAAGATCAAGGTCAGTTTTACAGAATTTTCCTATCCACTTTTTATTGAATGAACTGCACTATCTTTGGCACACTGTGATCGATTCTTCTCAAATAAATCTTTATTTTTGTTTAGATGCAATTGAAAATTTAAAAAGCGTTCTGTCATCTTACGATAATAAACATCTTTGTTTCGATACATTAACGCCACCTGGAACTCCGATATCCCCTCAAACTCAATATCAGTTATTTATACCAAAATTAGAGCAACATCAACAAAAACCGTTAGCCACGACAAGAGATATTACTCATATCATTGTGGATCCATTCAGTGTTTTAGCCGCATCAAAGCCGCGAACAATAACAGTTGTTAAAAACAAATAGAAAAAACAGCACAGAAACAAATTGACAAACAGCAAAAGAAGAAAATAAATGAATGAAAAGCTAAATGATAATGGCTCTGGTATCTTATAGCCCTTAGCTGTCCCTTACTAACAAGCTATTTCTCGGTCCTTTCCATTTTTTTTCATTGTTCTGATGTGTTTTTCACTCAAAACAATAACACTCAGGAATTTCTTTTGTTTGTCCTTTCTTTTACGTAATTTTCCTTTGTTTTTCTTTATCATGCTGATATTCAGCCACATACATGTTTTGTTAGCAATAATTTTTGTCCTGTGAACTTTTTTTCTTTATAGAAAAATAATCATTGTGTTTCTGCTCTGTTTAATTTTTCGGCTAACCCTTATCTTATCATGTATGTGTGCTTGAATCAAGCATTTACGCTTCTTTTTACATCTTCAGTCTTTTCTTGTTTTTTAGTCATAGAAATGCTAAAACGTCAAACTCACATTTCTAATCGTGATTCTTCTCTCGAACAATAGGAAAAAAAATGTTCAGTGTTATGTTATATACACTTTTCCAACAAAAGCTTAGATTATTTAAATATGGACAGTTTACTATCATCTAATGGTAAAGGGTTTTAAAATGTCTCAGTTTGAACTAGTTCAATATCAGACTTTTTTAAATTAGTTTAAATCAAGTTCCATCTTCAATTGAAATTGAAAGGTTATTTAGTCAAGTGGTTGTGTGAACAGTTTTTTATTGTATTTTCTTACTTTGTTATAGTCACGTGATAATTTATGCTATTGTTTTCCCATAGGGTATACACCAAGTGTTTGTGTTTTATAAAATCCTAACTGTGTTATAAACATCGAAATTTTCGTCTTCAGTATTCCGGTGCTGAAAAATTTATTTAGCGGGATGTGTGTTTTTTCACCTTTTGTACTCTTATCTATCTCTCTTTCTCTCTGTCTAATCATAGGAAATATTTCTTTTCCATTGTGCTGAAAATATATTATTTTCATAGCATGAAAAGTTTTTCGTTTGATTTTAGTCCTTTTTCATATCTATCGGGTATATCTGTGATTACTCTTGGTTGTTGTTTTTTTTGGCTGGTTATATATCATTTTGTTTTTCTCTTTGAGTGTATGTCGCTTAGGATTTTTTTGTTCTTTTACGGTGATAAGGTGATTTATTTGTTTGATCACAATTGTTAAGCTTTCTTTGGTTTTACTTTTGTTAAGAAATTGTTTTCTCTTTTACATTCTTTATTTGTGATACGTGCTGTTATTGTTGATTTGTTATTGTTGCTGCTATGCTATTTTTGAAGAAAACAAAACGAAAAATAAAAAAGGAACGAAATCAAGATTAATTGTTTTGAAAGAATCACTACGCTAACGATAACGGTTAAAAATTGTTTAATTACTATCAGTATTCTAAACATTTAATCACATTGTAGGATAGCACCATAATTGACAGTTTGATACGAGTTATTTATGAACTATCGCTCTTTTGTTCACAGACCTTCATATGTTATATTTTCATAATAGGTTTTAGATGAGTTAAAGTTGTACAAATCATGGCCACAGCTTCTGCCTTTTGTTCAACGAATTTTGATGAGCAGTCTGATGTCGACGGTCCTGTCTATTATTGTGAACTGTGTAATCGTGCATTTTGTGAAGAAACGTTACTTCTATTACACAAAGAATATGAATGTAACCCAGAATATACTTGTCCAATATGTAATCAGATATTTTACGATTCATCAGTTTTACAAATTCATGTTAATGAAGATCATGATAATTCACAAATGGGCTCCTATGCACAAGCTGTTAAAAGTGGACTTTCAACCAATGTCACATCAACAACAGTTAGTGATTCCTTATACGCACAAGATATACAACGGCGACAACAAATGAAAGAACAGTATGAAATGTCAAAAACAACAGTATCCATGAGCGAAGAAGGCGAAAAGGATGATGATCAATTTAATAATGATCATGCATTAGCTCTGACTATACAGCAAGAAGAAGACGACGAAAATTTTAAAGCATTTCAAGTATGAAAGAGGTGTAAAGTGAATGAATAGAAACTGGTATATAAACAATGTTGTGTGTTTGTTTTCAAGCGTAGATATGGTGCAAATAATCAATCGTTTAGTGATCGTGCTCAACAGAATTTAGATAATCATTTGAAAAAAAATTTTATTAGTCAAGCAGAATATAATGATTTTAAAATGAAACTAAATCAATTAGCGAAACAACCAGTTGAAAGACAAGAGTCACGAACACAAGGTATATTTAGAATAAAAGATTCTATAAAAGAGATCTGATAGAATTTATTCATTCAAGGTATTATTGATTCAATTCATCATTTTGTACCGACGAATGGTGTGGGAGGTGTCATTGATCGTCGTCTAGTATCAAATTGTGATCATTTTTCTGCCACTTGGTTAGATGGAGGATGGTCATGTGGTTATAAAAATTTTCAAATGTTGCTTTCATCAATGATGCACGATGTTCAATATCGTCAAAAACTATTTTGTGAACGATCTGATATACCGTCAGTGACTAGATTACAACAATTAATTGAAGAAGCATGGCGTAACGGATTTGATAGTCAAGGTAGAGAACAATTCAACGGAAGATTATATCAATCAACAAAATGGATTGGACCAACAGAAATAACGGCGTGTTTGGCTCATTGTAAAATTAAGTAAGAACTATTTAATCATTCAGTCTGTTTATGACGAATCGTAGCTTATCATCATTCAACTTGTCTCACAACATTGCCGCTTTTATTTTTACTTTTTATAGAACGGAATTATTGGATTTTCATAAACCAACGAATGTTCCAAAGTCAAGTTCATACCAATATTTATTTAAATGGATTAAAGATTATTTCGATAATGAAAGCTCAAAACGAGACAGAATTGTACATCCACTTTACCTACAACATGAGGGTAAATAGATGGATGCATAAAAAAAAGAAATTTTGTATATATAAATAAAATGAGATTGAATTTAACTGCTGTTACAATTACAATCATTTTAAAGTTTACCATGAAATTTTAATGCGTAAGGTGTTAATCAATTGTTTTATAAAAACTTATGTAATTGATTTGAAGATAATCACTAGTTGCTATGTTAATTTGATACTATTTTGTAGAACAATTGACATCATTTTTCTTTTATTTTTGAGGTCATAGTCGAACAATCATTGGTTATGAACAAATGCGTGGGGCTCCAATTCGTTTGTTATTATATGATCCAGGTACACCAAAATTTGAATATGAAAACTTTTTAAAATCTCCTCGACAAAAAATGTACATATTACGTCGTACGTTACAATCATTTAATAAACCTGTTTATCAAATACTTGTACTCAGAGGTTTATTAAATCCACAAGAACAAGAGGTACGATAAAAAATAGATCATTTTAATATATTTGATTCTTATATCATTTTCTATTCTTTAGACTGCAAAAATTATTCGATCAACAAAAGTATCATGATCATAATCTCTCACTTATTTATTTGTTTTATCTGTTAATTTTTGCATTTTTCATTATTATTATTATTATTATTATTGGTGACTGATTTTTTAACTATTATGATAAAGCACTACTGCGATATGAATAATAAATTCTTCTTATTTTTTCATATCTTTTATTGTTATTTAGGATTATAAATCATCTTTCTTTTTTAACGAGAAAAAGCTGAATAAATTCTAATACAGAAAATTGTTATATATTCACAAGTCTACTGTATAAACTCACACTAGTAATTAAGATTACTTTTTTAAGTACATACATAACTGTTGTAGACATTACGAAACTTTAACTTTATATTGTTGTTGTTTTACTGTGAATAGGTAAGTTCAGTTTCGTTACAAAATAAAATTTCCTTGTTTACGTTTAGATGAGTAGAAGAATCGACGATTTATTGTGTAAAATATTGTGTAAATAATAGTGTGTTTAAATATTTATCATGTTTTGATATATATCATTCATTTTATAATCTTAATTCAAGACTAAATCAGCTAATTCTCATTAGTCAACAACATATTAGTTTATCCAAACTTGAACTTGCACAATTTATAGATTATTGTTTACAAATTTTACCAAAAATAGTCAAAGATAATCTTAAAACATTGTATTTATCAAATTGAGCTATTTCTTACTCTGTTTGATTTAGAACAATTTACACAACTTAAAAGCTTAAAATTGTTTGAAATGAATTCGGGTTATATTAAATCAAGGTAAAACCTAAAAAAGAATAGAAATTTGTAACTATTGGTGGATTAAAAATTAAAAATTTTCACTCAGATCTCTAAATTATATGGAAATATCGAATGAATGGAATAAATTATTTATAATTAATGATATGTTCTATTTTTTTCTCTCATCTAGTCCGTCAGCATGAAATACACAAATTCTATTCATAGATAGATTAAAATAGTTAAAATCATTGACAATTACATTTAATTCTCTTTGTAGTACAAATGATAGTAAAAATATTCTTCGTCAACTATTTGAATGATCATTAATCAAATATTATTCATTCGATTTATAATTTATACAAATTTTTAATTATTTTCAAATTAATTCACTCGAATATCTTTCGATTTATTCAAATTTTATTCAATTTGATGATATTGAATATACATTTAAATATGTAGTCCACAATGAAAAGAATTTTATATATATTTAGAAAATATTGAATTTGTTTATGGACAAACATGGATACATATATTTATTGAATATGAAAAAAATATGAGAAAGTTTTATTTACGTATACAAACACTAAAAATAAAAAATAAAAGAATTTTTGACGAATAGACTTCGTGAAATTATTCAATTGAAGTAAACGTTAAGCCATTTTGTTTTAGAGAAAATACATATGATTATTGCCTATTTACCAATAATTGAACGTAAACATCTTATTTTATTCTCATTTGCTCGATAGTTTGTTTTTTGTTTTCATTTTCATTTTCTAAGGTTCTTCTTGATATGTTTTAATTATTTTATTATTTTTTTTTATGTTTTTTGTTAATTAACTAAACAAAATTGAGAACACAGATAATCTAATAACAAGATTTAGATGTGTTTAATATGAAAAATTTTGAATAAAATTGATTTTTTCGTATGTTACTCGTAGACAAGAGTCATAGTTGAAAACTAAAAACATTATTTACTTTATCATCTGTTTTTAGATGATATTTGTGTAATTTATGTTGTTTTTGTTTTGTTTTCTTATCATTTGTTTTTTCTAATGTTTTTTGCATTTCAATCATCAGCATCATCTTCATCGTTAATTGATCAATATCGTTATTTAATTAGTTATTCAATTTTAAACAAATATAAATATTTGAAAAAAATCATGAATAAACAACAGTCAACAACAAATCTTTCTAAAAGTCAAGGTAAAAATGGATATAATATTTCTTTATTTACTTTTCTTTTTTTTTAATTCTAATTTAATTCTTTTATTTAGAACTCGTGTTATGTGATTCATTTATTGAAAAATTAAGAACTTTTATTCAATGGTTTTGTACATATTTATGGGCAATTTATTTTATGCTTGTTATTATACTTGTCTATCTACTGAGAGGACCATTAAAAATTACACAATCATTTACAACAGGTTAGCCGTATTCTAATCAATGTTTAGCTCGCATACATATATGACCACCTATATTGTATTTTTTAAATGAAGTTTTGTGGAGTCTTCTATCTTAGAAAAAAAAATAGAATGACGTTGAGAGACTAAAAATTTGTTTTATGCATTTTATATCACGTTTGTTTAGTTTAGATTAGTCTTGCTATTTCTCTCGTTTACAAAAAAAAAAACAAACAGCATAAATTAGAACTTGGTTGACGCTGAGACAAGTAAATCTTTAAATCGACAATGTTTTTATTCAAAATTCTCCATAAGTTAGCCAATTACTTGTCTGATTTCAGTTCAAAATGAAATTTAAATTTTTTCGAATAATCGATACTAAAGTTATTTTCTCAATTGGGACTGAGAATATCAAAAATAAAAAAAATTAGATATTATGCGAAAATTTTTAATGAAAATCATGTAGCAGACGTTTAGCACTTCAACAGCAATTAGATTACGCCTACTTTGCGATTGTGACTCGAAAAATGATCGTCTAAAAAGGTAAGCTCATCTACGTATACTACATATTGCTTTATACTTGAAAAAGTAAAGATAAGGAAAAGAAAAAAAGTATCTCAATGACTATGGGACTTTACCGGACAAAAACAGCTCGAAAAAAATCGATGATGGCTCCTAGATGAACTAATAAAGTTAAAATAAGGATATGACTCACTTAAAAATTTTTAACATGAACATTTGTGTCTGTTGTTTGCTGAATCCATTGTTTTATATTTATTACAGCTTGAAGCAAATAGTCTTACTTATAATAAGCGCAAATTAGTATTCATAAATTTCATATGTTATTAAGGACAAAAACTGAAAACGATTTCAGGTTTTTTTTTTTGGTCCAAGATTTTTTCTTTTCCCAGGTTTGTATTTGTAAGTTCAAATTAATTAGATACCTTTTTCACTTCAAGATCAAAACAAAAGCCGATGCACCTTGTAGTTTGCATTTTTAGTGAAAAAAATGTCAACTATATATTTTATATAGGGAATATGTTTTTTTTTTTCTTCCTTCTGTATTCTCCCATCATCATTTGACGTAAATATCCTATATCTATGTATAAATGGAACAGTTTTACATGTGTGTGCGTGTACGTATCACACACTCCCATAAGACATTATTTTTTTTTTTTGTTTCGTTTTTTATTTTGCATCTTCTTTGACATATTCTAGAAAAAGTAATACTTGTATAAAAACAGAATATAGCATAATATAGCTATCGTCGCTCGAACGGTTCACAGTCTTTCTCATTAGTAATATACTCGCTATATTTTCATCATCATTCTCCTATTCTTTCTACTTCGATCTTAAGTCAGACTATAAAAAAAAAGAAAAAAAGAAAAAGAAAAGACGAGAAATACAAGAGAGAAAAAGAGAAGAGCATATAGCCATCTTATGTTTTTTGCCGTCTTCAAACCTGGTACCATCCACCACAAACAGTCCCTTGCTAATTGAACACTCTGCATCGATTAGATTAACGAACTGATGGTTCTATTTGTAGGAGAGATAGATAAAAAAAAGGAGGTTCATTTCATTGAACTAATTGAATATAAGAAAATGTTCTTTTTCTTCGTCCTTCTTTCCCAATAATAACTGGTGATACACGCATACATTTACATCGCTCTCTCTCTCTCTCTCTCTCTCTCGCTCTACATTTTTAATGATTCGTCATCTATTTTTCTCCCTTGCTGTCTCATTAAAAGGCAAAGAATAGAAAAGAGAATACTGACGGCATTTTTCGTCCTATATAGTTTATATGTGTTTTCCAAGCGAGATCTAGAATGGCCTTTTGTATTATACTTTGCTTGTTGTAGAATGTGTGTGTCTGTTTATTGTTGTATCTAATTTATGTTAAACTAAAAGAAAAAATAACTAACGTGAATCCTCTTGTAGATATTATATTATTTTATGAAAATCAATACAAGAAAATTATAAATTTACTTATAGTCTCTTCTTAACGTCTGCTATCACAAGTAATCAAACATGTTAAACGTTATATTTTGTAAGTGTGAAAATTAATATGTATCTTGTTGTTTGTATATACATATGTATATATATGTGTATGTGTATGTTGATGTTTATTTGCGGGGAAAATTAACAGAAACTAGTGGAACAATAAACAACATAATCGGTTTTTAATAAATGTCAATTAAAAAACTTTTTATTATTATTCTAACCTAATTTGACCCCTTTTTTTCGATGTTTCAAGCTGGGTTTGGGGTGGTATAGATCGAACAATCAACAAAAATATATCTTTTTAATTTTCTTATTACAATCGTGGTAGAAGTCGCATAATCCATAATATTGAACACAAAGTCTATGTCGAAGAAGTTTTAAGAATACTGATGAAATATCGGTATCTATCAGTTATTCTCTGTTAGCAAAAATCTCGAGATAATGCTAATCTCATTGTACCAAAAATAGCGAGAAAAATGTTTTAGAATACTCTTCATTTAAAATTGGAATATTCTATGCTGATAAGTAGATGTCTCGAACCAAATATCGTTGCCCTATCGTATCATTAACCTAGATGTTGCTCAAAAAAATTTAATTTGCTCAGAATTTCGCCACTTGTAGCTGACATAAAACTACTAATCGCTTTTTAAAGTAGCTGCATTATTAGCTGAAAATAGCGGGTAGAATTGTTAACTAAGTCTGCAGACTTTACTTATTCCATTGTAAAGTTGTGTAAAGTAATCACAGTGAATCATATTCAAGCAAAAAAGCATGCTGCTTGGGTAGAAAATAATATTCAAAAACTTTTATTTCTTTGCACATTAATCATTTATTAAATTTATTAAAAAAAAATGTTTTTGTTTATAGCTACGATGTTTTTTAATACATTAACTCCAAAATTTTATGTTGCATTAACTGGCACATCATCATTAATATCGGGACTGATTTTGGTAAGATATTATCTTATAAAATGAAAATATACAAAATTTAGTTTAGTAGTAGCGTAATAAACGTTAAAAATGAACAAAATTGAATTACAAAATAATATAATTCTGTTTTAGATATTTGAATGGTGGTATTTCAAAAAGTATGGCACATCGTTCATTGAACAAGTATCCATAAATCATTTAACTCCAATTCTAAATCCAAGTGAAACTAGTACAGAACAAGATACAAATAATTTACCTGTGACAGGTACAAATGGTTAGTGATACATATCTACTCTATCAACAACGACATAATTTATAAATATTTTTTTTTCCATATTTTAGAATGTAAAGTATGGAAAAATCCTATGTCACTATTTCGTGGTTCAGAATATCAACGTTTATTGACAACAAATGGAAAAGAACCATTAACATTTCATGATATGAATTTATCAGCACAAGAACATCAGACATTTTTTTCATGTGAAATAGATGAAGGAAAACAAGAATATGAACGTAAGCAATAATTGAAATAAAATATAAGAATTTCTTATTTAAACATCATCATTGCATTTTAAATCTTAATATCTTTATGTTTCTTACATTCTTAGTTATGCAAAGAGCATGGAGAGAGCGAACACCAGCAACCAGAATTCAATTAGCACACGAGGCAATAGAAAAAAATGCAGAGTAAGCAACATTCTTTTTTTTTGTACTGATATAATAAATTATTTCTGTTTTTTTCCAAAAAATATATTTATTTTTTTATTTATTTACAGATGTACGCCAGCATTAATATTACTCGCAGAAGAAGAAGCTACAACAATTATTGAAGTTGAACGTTTACTGCGGCAAGCGTTAAAATGTTCAGAAAATGCTTATAGAAAAAGTCAACAGCTATTAGAACAGGGACATAATCAAGAAGTTGTACATAGTACGTATAATGAAATAATTTTAATTTATTTGCTTTTCTAAATTATCTTTTGTACTAAGAACGAAACACAAATATTTTGATTTATGTCAAACGTCGTCTTGGTATGTGTGCACGAAAATTAGGAAAATTAAGAGAGGCAACAAAAATTTTCAGAGATGTATGTAAAAATTTGAGTAAATAACTTTTTATAAAAATAAAAAGAAGTACATAATAAATTTTGTTTTTTATTTTTAGTTAGTAAAAGAATTTCCAATGATGAGTGTATTTAATATTCATGAAAATTTAATTGAAGTTCTACTTATGATGCAATCTTATGCCGATGTACAAGCAGTATTAGCCAAATATGATGGTTAGAAAAATGTCTTTAATATTCGCCTTTATGATTGACTGCATGAAGATTTTATATGCTTAATTATAGATATTAGTTTACCAAAATCAGCCACAATATGTTATACGGCTGCTTTATTGAAAGCGAGAGCCGTTGCGAGCACGTAGGTTTGTTAACGTTCGTTTTTTTCTGCTGATGCTTGATTCGCTCATTTATGCTTATGCTAAACTCGACGAATAAAATTTAAATGAAAAATTGTAAGTGTTGTTTTAAATAGAAAAAAATTTGTACAATTCTTATTGTATTTCAATAGCGTAGCTATAGTAATAACTTTAATTTGCTTTTATATATTTTTAAAACGAATATCTTACTTTTTTCTAAAAAAATATTAAATGATAGATTTTATGAACTATGATTTATTTCAGTTACTCATGTCTTGTTGTTGTACATTTTGATATTCTTTTCTTGAATACAGTCGAGTTCTCCATATCCAAGTATTGTGTTTTCTTTCTGTACAATTTTCAGAAATTTCTAACAATTTCAATTTTTATTGGACAACAAAATATCTCTGGAGTCATTGAAATTAATTTGATACTACAGCTTATTTTACAATTTATATACGTGAGATACAAAATATTTCTTTGACATGAGAACTCTCTGGCTAATAATCCATGTTAATAGCGACAACTATCATGGATTTTATATAATTTGTATAAAAATAAACATACAATACTATAGTATAGATATATTTTATTGTTGTAGTATCTCGTCGAAGCTCAAAGATTAGGCTTGATTCAGGTGCACTTGTGCTGTTGTATTAATTATATAATTTTTATTTATTTAGATTTTCTCCGGATATAGCCAGTAAACGTGGTTTAAGTTCAGCAGAAATGTCAGCAGTCGAAGCCATTCATAGAGCCGTTGAATTTAATCCACATGTACCAAAAGTAAAAACACAAAATATATAAGTTTTTTTTTTCTTCGAAATATAATAATTCTTTTATCTATTTCTAGTATCTATTAGAAATGAAAAGTCTAATATTGCCACCTGAACATATTCTAAAACGTGGCGATAGTGAAGCGATAGCCTACGCATTTTTTCATTTACCACATTGGAGAAGAGTTGATGGGGCATTAAATTTACTTCATTGTACTTGGGAAGGAAGTATGTAATGTCTATTGTATTTTAAGGATAATTTTTACTCGTTTCATTTCTTTTAGCATTCCGTATGATTCCATATCCATTAGAAAAAGGACATTTATTTCATCCATATCCAACTTGTACAGAAGCAGCGGATAGAGAACTATTGCCAAGTATGTATCTTCTTTAAAAAGAAGTGGCTCATCGAATATTTCCTTTTGATTAATGTAAAATTTAATTATTTGAGTACTAATACAATTTTCTTTTTTCGATTTTAGCATTTCACGATGTCTCTGTATTTCCCAAAAAAGAATTGCCATTTTTTATATTATTCACAGCTGGTCTTTGTTCCAGTACAGCCATGTTAGCTTTATTAACTCATCAATATCCAGAAGTTGCTGCTTATGTGGCTAAATTATTTTTACAGTGGTTTTCCGTGCCAATTAGTTATTTGACAGATAAAATTGAAGCGATTTTACCTTCAAATTTATTTCAACAATTAGCAAAAATCTAAGCTTATCCTAGACATCAGACATTGTTTCATTTGTCGAAGTGCATGCTAATATCTAAATCATTGATCTCGTAATCCTCTGGATTTGTTTTATTTTGTTTTTGTTTTATTTCTTTTTTTTGTACTAGCAAAATCTAGAGATCTATTTTGTACGTATTGTACGTAAAATTTTTTATTATTATTGTATATGTCATCTTGTCATATATTTCACACATACGGGTGTATTTTAATTACACACAATGAATAAAAACAATTATTTTTAATTATTTTCAAGAAAAATACAAATGAGTGTTAGAATGAGAGATATTTTGCCACATTCTTTGTCTTATTTACTGTATCTACTGAATTCTAGAAAGGTGAGCTGACTAGAGACCACTAGTTTGCAGAGCTGGACAAGTCAGGTCTGAATTGATTTGACTTGATCGAAAATTTTTTGGATATGACTTGACTAGAGATTTTTTTCGTGACAGTGACTGAACTTGAAAAAATTCTCAAATCATTTCTAGTAAGAGATTTTCGTTTAAATTAGGCATTTTTTACCATGAAACAGTTTCTGAAACTATAAAAACTGTCTCTCACCTAAAAGGTGCTAGCAAATTTTATGTTCTGTCTACGTTTTAACCAGACTTGACTTGACTTGAAGGAAAAAATTTCGAGGAATGATTTGACTTGACTTATGACTTGCAAAATTCCTGACTTACCCATCTGTGTGTAAAACCACTTACGAGGGAGGTCCACCAACTGTCCAATCACTTTTAAGACGAAACCTAGTGGGTGATAGGTAGTCAACCATGCTTATTCCAAATATCGACATGAGACAGGCAGTTAGGCCTCCATAGACCTGTTTTCTGGAAAACCAGTTTTTCAGAAACCCAAACCTTTCTTAATGAGGTATGATTGTGGCCTGCGAATTTCTGATTAAAATGAGACATCTCCCAGCTCTACATGACCTTTCTTTGCAAAATTATAGAATTTAAAGAAAAGCCCTAAAGTATTTTTTTCTTATTTCTGTAGCTTTGAGCTGACAGTGAACATTTAGGGCTTTTCTTGTAAATTCTATAACTTTGCAAAGAAAGGTCATGTAGAGCTGGGAGATGTCTCATTTTAATCAGAAATTTGCGAGCTACAATCATGCCTCATTAAGAAAGGTTTGGGTTTCTGAAAAACTGGTTTTCCAGAAAACGGGTTTGTGGAGGCCTATCTGTCTGTCTCATGTCGATATTCGAAATCAGCATGGTTGACTACCTATCATCCACTAGGTTTCGTTTCAAAAGCGATTGGACAGTTGGTGGACCTCCTATTCTGTACATTAGTCGCTGTACGAGAGTCTATAAGTTTTTCTATACGTTCCGTTCAGTTCACTAGTCCAAATCATAGTAGAGACGTTTATTGTTAGAATCATAAGTGAACAACAGTATTGTCAACTCTGATTGACATCAGTACAAAATTAATCCCTGTTTCAGGTGATAATAAAAAAGATTTATATGCAAAGACGAAACTATTCGATGTAGAGCGATAAAATCATATCTTGTTTGATCTATGTTATATGTTTTTTCTTTTGGATTCTGTTACTACAATGCCCACCATATTTGAAGATATGTATAACGATTTGTTTTATCAATTATTTGATTATTTGGATGCTTATGATATTTATTATTCTTTTTTTGGTTTAAATAAGCGATTTAATGATCTAGCTGAACATAAACCTACCCTTCATGCAAACATAACATCTAAAAAATTTAGAGATTATTATCAAATTTTGCTACCATTAATTCATCTTCGTCTTGTAGCATTAAAATTTGATGAATTACAACTATTTATAAAAATATATTATTCATTTTCAAAACAATTTTCTCGTATTCGTTCGTTAACATTATCTAATGTAATAGTTGATCGTTTACCGTTATTAAAATGTATCTTGTCATTAACACTTGAATTAAAATCGTCTTCTGTTCATAGTACATCGTATTTATTTCAAATTCTCCATTCTAAATTACCATTATTAAAATATCTAGTAATAACAAACAACCCAATTGTATATAAAATTTATAAACCGACACTTTATCTACATCAGTATTTAGAAACACTTGCAATCGATGTTGGATTTTGTTCAGATTTATTTAAACTTTTTAGTTGTTTACCAAATATTAGATGTTTAACGTTGAATGTAAAATCAACACTTATTTCAGCTGATTTTCAAATAGAAAATCCATCAATTATCATACCAACAGTGAAAATATTAATTGTTAATGATCAACCGCCCGGTTTAATAAAAGTTGAACACATTAAGTATGTATTAAAATATTTTCCTGATTTAAAAGCATTCGCGTTCATATCATATTCTATCGAATCAATAAATGGAACAAAATGGGAACAAATTTTATCGACAATATCCACATTGACAAAATTTCAGCTTCAAGTTAATGTTCAACAATTAAAAGTAGAACCGAATATTATTGAAATTCAGTCAAAATTTCAAACAAATTACTGGCACGATAAAAAATGGACGAATGTCAAAGGAGATTGGTATCAACAGCAAAATTGTTTTACGCTGCGTGTTTATTAACCATGTTGTTTGTTTTGCGTAAAAAAACTTACGAAGTGGAGAAAAATATTCGATTGTTTATTACCGTCTGAGGGAAAAAAACTACTGTGGTATGTTTTGTTGCTGAAAGATTAATTACAGGAATGTAATTTGTTCTTAAAGCAGTTATAAATTTATATATTTCTCACATACTTATGCATATAACCAGACATGTGTGCCGTCCCCACCGAAGGCAGAAAAAAATTTTGAGGTTAAGCGCCGCCGCCGCCGCCAACTGTAGTAACTGACGTTTGATAGGATCGAGAAAACGCTTCGAATTGTTCAGCACAATGGGTATATATTATACCCTAAGGTGTGTAGGATTGGGATGCGATGAAGGAGACAAAATTCAGTTCATAACAATTATTCGATACCCTAGTGAATGTACTTGGGTAAGTAATGTCCGGAGTACCTGGAGTTTTTTTGCAAGTAAAAAAGGTGCTTATCAAGTAATTTAACAAATATAAGTACTAGGTAAGTACTTCATCAAGTGTTTGGCAGGTAATTTGGTAAGTACTTGCGAAATATATGCCAGTATCCGAAGTTCTTCCAAGTACTTGGCACGTATTAAATCTAAAAATGCTTGACAAGTGCTTAGCCAAGTACTTTAGAAAATTTGCAAGTAGTTACGTACTTGATCTCAAGTACATTCACTAGGGTACTTATAAAAGATTAAGGTAGATTTTTTAACTTTCTTTTCCATTGACAGAATGTCTATTTTCTTTGCACATAGAATGGAACTTTTGCATTCAGCACTTGAAAAAAACAGCGGCAAGTAGCATTTTTTGGTTGAGATAATTTTTTCGAAAAAATAGTAGCTCTGTGAAGAAAACAAATTTAGCCCTCGATTTCGAGAGTTTTTACTCACGTCGGCGAATGGAAAAGTTTGCGCCGCCGCCGAATATTTTTTATCGGCGCACATGTCTGCATATAACATACAGTAGTTTTTCAAATAGTAGATAGCAATCTTTCGTCAATTGATATCAGCAGCTGATACATGAGATGATTGCAAGCGAAATGTACCGTTTTTATAAAAAGAAGACCACATATAGAACTTTCTAGAAATCTCAATCAAATATGCTAAAATTTTTCAGGTAGATAGCTCAGAATAAAAATGTGGGATGGAGGTGTCACAGTCCTAAATGTCACAGAATAGGATTGAGCCAGGACTTCAAAAATTCATCACCTTTCATATTTCCAGCTTAGAATTATCTACTTGGTCTATCAAAGTTAGCCTGCTAGTAGTTATAGATTATAAGACACGAAAAACTAATGACACTTTTCCAGCGAAAGTTTGGTAAACTTAAAGTATGTTCGCTCACAATTAGAGTAATTAAATCATGTAATTTGAAAACGAAAACATGTCTCACAATAGAGGAGATAGTACGAGGCCAGGAATTTTATGTACAATGTTCCTTTACCACATGTTACTCATTTTTCTGTATCGATGGAAAAAATCGATGGATTTTGAGTTGAGCATAGCACAATGCAACGGAAAGTGTCGGCCACAAAATGAGACCACTCACAGCACTCTACGACCTTTCTTCAAAAATGAATTTTTGAAGTTTTTCCTTCAAAGCGTAAAAAAACTCTATTTTAATTTCATAAACTTTTCGCTTCTTTCACATAGTCTGATAGAAGAAAGTGTTTTCTACATAAAACGTTTTCTAGAATTTTCTGATGAGTTTTCGTGGAGATATTAGCATCGCCGCAAATGCCCTGAAAAAAGTGACTTGTGTACAAAATGCGGTTTTCTCGAAAACTATTTTTTTGCTAGAGGACTTCATTTTGTCTCATCACGATCTCCCTTAAATTTCGTCCGATCAAGTTACAAATTATATCAGAGGTACTCAAGACACTATTGCAGAGGTACTTTTTAAATTTTATTTTAGACCTTTCTTTACCGAGGTATAGGGTTTCTAAAATTGAAAAACTTGATTTTTGAGACGCTTTTAAGTATTTTTTCTATAATTCGACAAGGAAAGGTCTTAAAAATATTCCCAAAAAATATTTCTGCGGTATTACCTTACCTCTGGTAAAATTTTAAAAACTTGAAACAAAAACGATTGAGATTTTCAGTTGTAAAGAAATTTGGGTAATGAAAAGAATCGACAACCTCATTAAAAACAGTTTTCTTGGTAGAGAACGATAGATTCTAAACGAACGGTAAAGTGGTTAAAAATCGCTTGAAGCTAAGTTTCAGATTTTCAACGCTCATGTTTTCTTACTCTCTGTGCATGTGGTGGTTGATAGCCTGAAAACTATCATATTTCTCAAGCTTTCAACAAGTCTCAATGACTATTATCTACGATACAATTTTAGAGGAGCATTTTTTTTGAAAAAGGTGAAACTCAACGGTACATTTGGCTTGCAAGCGTCTCACATACAGTAGCTCGAAAAATTATTCGAATCCGATCGAGAAATATTTTACAAATTTCATCGTATAGAGCAAACATTTGTGGTCAAAATCAGACATATCCAAGCTTTCTACGACATTTTTTCATGAAACAGCATTCAAAATCCCTATATCACGAAATTAACAGGAAAATACGAAAGATATGACTTTAGTTTCTTTCGTAAATTGCATGTTGTTTCATGAAAAAATGTCATACAGTGCTCGGATACGTCTGATTTTGTTCACAAATGTTTGTTCCATACGATGAATTTATTTATAAAATATTTCTCGATCGGATTCGGGACGTGTTTTTCTGAGATTTTAGTTTTCTAGAGACCCTAATTTCAGAAATTTCGATGAAACCTTTATGTACACTGCACCAGATTAGAAATTCTTTCAGTTGTTCAAATCTTTTTTCAAATTTGTTCTAGGTATTATGATTGAAGAAAAAAATTAAAAATAAAGGTGAACGAATAATTTTTCGAGCTACTGTATATTACTCTCTGGAATTATTTTACAGTATTTTGATTCATTGAGCTTTGTTAGTAAATAGTAAATTTATTATTTTCAGATTGAGAACGGCAAATGGTCCGCTATCGTGGATTATCTCAAAAATCATCTTTAAGACGTTGTTCAAATGATAATATTTCTTTTTTCTCAATTATTTTGGATATTGCAAACAGAGGCTATTGAGGAACAATGCTAACGATGGTCGGAGCATAGGAAATTTGTTAAGCGAAGTAATATTATTTTTCGCTCACCATCAGTATAGTGGTAAGTCGACTTACATCATAAAATTTGTTGGGTTGTCTTATATAAGGACTTTTTAGATATCTATATCATTCAAGTTGTATAGCCTAAAATTGATTACAAAATCAAGATTCATTTTTATAGTAGAGCCGTAGTAAATACGCAGTTATTAGACTCCTTTTACATTGTACATCCTCATTTACTTTCTTTCTGTGTTATACATAGACAAGAGATAAAAATAATAAAAATATACAGCGACAAAGAGTTCTCGTGTACGAAAGAAAGCATAACGCATTTCTCAACGATGAATGAGAAGCAAAGCCTTCTCACTCATCAAAGATTCACTAAGGTTTCTCTCACTCATGACGTTCTTATTTGTTTACTTCAATGTCATGACTATATTCAGGTCATCATGAATATTTTATCTCTCTTCATTTTCTAGTTTGTTTTCTAAAGTGATAAAGATGATATAGCCAGCAGTAGTCTATACAATATGAAAGGAGTTTAATCACTGCTTGTCTGCTACAACTCTAGTATAAAGCGCTTCGCAATATTTACACGTATAATATGAAGCACAATGTTCACATTGTAGATTGACCGTTATCCTTTACTGGCAGGTGATGTAATCATAGTCTTAACAGTGATATTATTAAAAGCGTTATTCCATGTTTATCCAACGTTGATAAGACAATATGAATAATTTACAATAATGTTGATAATAATAGATGACCTTTGCTAAATATTAAAAGAATAACATTGAAAATAATAATTCAAACAGCAGCTGTTTTTCGTCGAACAATACATTACTATAAAATACTCAGCACAGACATTTGTGTTTTATTCAATTTTAGCAAATTTTTTAATTTGTTAGATTCCAGTGATTAAAAGAGGGCCTATGATAGGAAAAAAAATGTTTCAATGGAGACTCAGAGATGTTTTTTATATTAAGCAATTTATTCTCGTGAATTACTTTTATTCCTAACATAATGTGATCTTTTTTTTTAAACAGTTTTCCTTTTATTCACGAAATAATGGTAAAAATAAAAATAAAAAAACAACTACCAGAGAAAAACACTTATTCGGCAATTCGGGATATCCCATTGTATGCCGGATTCTAGATGAACATGCTGAAACAAAATGAGTATATAGAGAAGAGAGGTTATACTAATGTTGGTGAAGAGAGAGAGAATTGGGAATCGAATTTTGAGATCCGCTGTATCCATGTGACGTCTTGCTCATAAAGGTTTAGTACATCATGACTGATTAAATCTTCCAGTAGTATCAATAAATTGGAGGATGGCTGTATACACTCCTATCAGGTCCTGCTTAGCCAGTGCTCGGATAGATTCATGTTTCAAAAGTATGTGCTCCAATGTAATGTAATTATCATTAAGAACAATACGCAGCTGCTCAAACATAAAATTACGAGACTTATCGTAAATAGCACAGTCCATGAAAAAATGTTTAGTAGTCTCTCTATTAAAGCCACATGCACACGCCGGTAACTTTTCTAATCCACCTCTAGTAAAGAGATAGTCATTTAGTTGGGGATTATCAACTCTACATCACGTATGATGTATCTTCAACCGCCGATCACGCATTAACGGTAGACGAAAGGACGAAATATATTGCAAGACTAATCTGAGTGATCTTCTAACGTCACACATTTTTCTCTCTATGTAAATTTTTATTATGGTCAAGTTTGTTTTATTGTCAATGAAGAGTTTAGAAACGTCTAACACTTCAAATATTTTATAATCCTCATTGATTTGTCCTCAATACTTGATAGTTATTATACCAGTACCACCTACTACATACGAGAACTTTATACTAAATATATCTCAACTATAATCATTTATGATAGAAAGATATTATTTCCCGAAGCTGTTGCTTTGTAAATGTCACGTCACATTTTGCAATACAGACTCTTTTCTTTTATTGGATTATGCGATAAAGCAATTTCTGTTCAAGAACATTTAAATACAATATTCTATTGGTTGAGTTCTTCTGTCAAACATAATTTGTACATCTCAAACATTTCAATTAAACACTGTGTGTAACTTCAAAATATAAAGATTTTAAATCTAAGTGATACAACTATTGTACTAACATCATGATATTTCTATATTTACATAGAACTATGATTATTCTTTTGCAGTATTTCGCGTCACTTATATACATTTATACTATAAACATTATGTCAGTATATCTAAATACATTTCTTTCACACTTGTTCAAGTATTTAAAGTAAAATAGAAATTGACATAAATCAGTCAAAATCAAGACTAATCTCTTTGCTTTCTAAGATTTCTTGCGGTTAGCAGACCACTTTAGATTAAACAACCTTGAAATAGAAATTTCTAATTAACGGTTCTTTAAAAAACTGTTAATTCAAATATTTTCTCAACTGTTTTGCCTTTTTCTTGACATCAATAGTGCGGAAAAACACAATTTGTCAACGATATATATCCGTGTGGGATGAATATCAACTGATGACAATTTATCTGTCTCATCCATTTCACTTTGTTCTTGTTCTTATTTTTATTTAATTATGCATAGAGGGAGTCAATTCCTATTTTTATCAATTATACGCGTATTTTTTTCTCTGTGGTTGTTTGTCTTTTTTTTTTTTCCTTCTTACCTTTAAATGATACAGAACAGGTAAAAAACGTAAATTATTTTCTTCTTCTCTTTGAGCATGTGCTGTGCCAGAAAATGCGCGTAATATCTCGAATATTCATCAAGTAAATATAATAAGAAAAAAAGAACGAACGTGTATATTGTTTTCTCTCTATTCTATAACAACAACTAAACGGTAAAAGGAAGAGACGCTTTGCGTTAACTGTTTTACTATACAAAATTCTTGTTAACAGACTAAAATGAATTTATTTCGAAACGATCCATTTTTTTCTGGTAATGATATGCTATTTGATGATTTTAATTATCAACGTGCACTGCCATTCTCAAATCGTCGTGTTCACGGAGATAATGATTACTCAAGCTCAAGATCAAATCGTAATCGTGATTTAATGTCACGTGGTAATAATGATGATGATTTATTTTCAAATCCATTTGCAATGATGCAAAATATGATGGGAAATATGCGAAATGTGATGGCAAACATGGAAACACGTATGTCGGATCCACAAATGGGTGCAAATGGTGTTTCATTTTCATCATCGACAGTATACAAAATGGATAATAGTAGTGGAAATGGTCAACCACGCATATTTCAAGCAACATCAGAAAGATTAAGAGGACCAGAAGGTAAAAATCATCATTCTACTTCAACATCTATTTTCCAGTATCTTCTGATTGGAAATTCTCCTACTACAGCCAACTCTTTCTTAAACAGTAAGATTGAAAATAAGAGCAGGATACTATTTGAGAAAGAAAAGAGACATAATGGATGCATTGCATCTTTCTAATCACTCGCTTTAACTCGGAAGAAAAGTAGTGCATTTTTTTCTATCTCAACAACTGCAATCAGTCAGTGATGCACAAGAATTTATGAACTGAAAAATTACTTAACAATTATTGTATAAAATTTCGATGAATCAGTGTGTTGATTCAAGTATAATAAACTCTAATTTCATTGTTATTCATCTATTCTAGGTTTGGAACGTACTCGTAAAGCTGTTCGCGATACCGGTCGAAATTTAGAAAAAATGGAAATTGCACATCGGCTCGGTGAACGTGGACATCGTATATTACGTGAACGTGATCCAAGCACCGGTCAATTAATTGAAAATAAAGAATTTGAACATATCGATCCGAATGATGAATTAGCATTTCAAGATGAATGGAATCAAAAATCACGAAATTATGGAAATTTGAATAATGCACTCTATGATACACGAACAAATTATGTACCGATTGGTAGTAGTCAAAATCGATCAAAATCAATGGATCGTGGTAGTTCACAATTAGCAATCGATCAACCATTTGATGATAATAACAGAGATACATCAAAGAAGCGTAGTCAACAAAAATATCGTCCAAAAAAGTAGAATGATCTATAACTCAAATTATTTTAGTTATTTTTTTATAATCAGATAAACTGTTCTGTTGCAAATGAAAGCGGAGAAGTTTTTTTCAAGTTCTATATTTATATGTGTGAATTTTTTTCCACATTGTGTATATATATATAGGGTTTTGTTCTTTTTTTTCTTTTCACGCATTTGAATTAAGAAAAAAGAAATCCATAATAATTGTGTTTGTTTGCGTGGAAAATCTAAAAATTGTGAGAAGTTTTGTACGAATTTGTTCCATTATCAATAAATCTTGTAAAAGAAAATGGATGTTTTGACACTAATTACTTCTAGAAAAAAAACTGACTAGACACTTGAATGTCGTTCGATTTTTGAAAGACAACAATTTTTTCTGGAAATTCGCTCTCAGAATGAAAGTTCCATAGTACTGATGTGATGTTGTCATTAATGACAGTAGATGTTTTGATACAAGAAAGACAGTAACAGATTTTGTTTTGATAAAAAAGTGTGTCCAGTAATGGAAATATGATGATGTGATTTTTCAAGCAGAACAAAAACACCGTACGTTGACTGAGCGTAGGAACAATATAATAATCATAACTAATCTGATAAAAATAATGATTAATAACGCATAATAAAACAAAGAGAACTTCTATCTATCGTATACATAATATGATTAATTTTACTTCCTACGCCGAAAAGAGAACTTGAAATATGACGCCTTTATATAAACATTTAGACTGATATTAAACGTATAACAGATTCATATTTCACAAAGCTCTTGTAAAATCCTGAAACAAAATCACGATAGAGATCTCAAAAATTTAGACAGAATTATTCACCTATTACTAAAAAATGTGAAAACTCACAAATACCCAATCTGAGTTAGCCAAGCGATAGACCTCGTCGAGCTGAGTCTAGCAGCGTCTAACCAACACTACCAAAACGTTTTTATAGCTTCACTTTTTAAGCATACATTTTCAAAAAAAGTCTGCCAAATTCATTTCCAGGTTATTCTAGCCTACTGGTACCATTTTCAACTCGAACAAAATATTGTTAAGGATTTTCGAAAAAAATTCACCCTTTCAGATATTACATAACTACAATTAGACGCCTGTTTTGGACTTCACAGGAGAGGCATCTAGACATATTATATATCATAAGAAAGCCCGTGAACTTCTCTACAAAAGTATTATTTAGTAATTATTTAAAAGTCCTTTGTTCAATTTTTAATTGCGATTGACCTTCGGAATTATAGACTGTTTCAGATCTAAGAAAAATAAAGCGTGTACTAAAGGAATGAGAGTTTTTAAACTATGCTAAAATACTCTACAAGGATTTCTGAATGTATTAATACTCGTTAGAATCATAAAAACTCTTTATTCAAAGTAAAATAATACAAATACTAAATATGACTAAAGTATCTTCCTTTTTCTTTCTCAATTACTCGAATACATGGTAAATCAGTATCTCGAACGCCGGGCTTCCAGCGGATATTGATTCCGAGGTTCTGCAACAACAAGAAAACCACGAAAAAGTTCATCAATCACTCGAAAAACAAGACGCAGTCAAAAAAAGCGATAATTAAATAAATAATTTATTAAACATAGCTCTCTTTAGTTTATTCAAGCTTCATCTCTTATTATTTAGAACTGTATATTAGAAATATGTACTGAT